GTTTAAAAAAAAAAAAAAAAAAGGAGCCAAGGGGAATTAAAAATCAAATCGCCAGAGAAAAGCAGATGGAGAACAGCGCGATGCGTGAGCGCAAGGCTCCGTAAGAAGATTAAGCAGGTCCAAATTAGAAAGAGAATAAGAGGGAGGGGGCCCAAAAGAAGCAAGAAACCGGAGAATAAAATTGAAATCCAAAAGTGGAAACGAGAGACAGAGGCAGTGGGTAAAGATTTTTAAATATAATTATTTTTTTCTTGAAGTTATCAAGGTCAAGAATTCACGAAAAAGTTGGCTCGGCCAACTCGTTTCTGGCTCCCAAAGTCTCGTGTATGAGCTTAAAAAAAAAAGAAATAGAGTAAAGAAAGGGAACTTAAATGAAAAAAAAAATTGCGCTCGAGTACCACGTCAATAAGCCTTGCACACAAGCGAAATAACGAGAATTGCAGTAAAAAGAAATGGCTGAGAAAATGAAAAACAGAACAAAAATATGACGAAAAGTCGGACAAACCTAAAAAATTGAGAGAAAGCAGCGCAAAGAGGGTGAGAAGGTATTGTATAGGAGAATAAATACTTTGAAAATGTCGACGTACGAGAGGGCACAGCAGCGAAAAGTACATTGTATTATCGCTTTAAGTACGAAGAACATTTTTTTCTTCTTTTGAGTTACGAATATTTCACGTGGACATTAATTTTTATACATCTTAACTGAAGAATTTCAATGAAATTAAATTTACATTTTGTAAGTTCATTTTCTAAATATAAATTAATATTTTGATGACGTTTAATCAATTTTGACATGAATTTTACTTAATTATTGCATTTAATTAAAACTCGTGTTGAAAATGTCCATAAATTCGATTATTTTTCTATGAATTATAGTTTATTAGATAATTGTATTTAAAATTGGAATTTTTTTTGTTTGGCAGTCACATAATTATATAATAATATATGACTTTTTTATTTTTATATTTACAAGTTGATAATTAAAGTCAATTACCTTACTTATGAAAATTTATAAACATTTAATGAAATTTAATAAATTGAAAGTAAACTTTATAGTGGTTGTGCCTTTGTGTAATTTTCAAGTGCATGTAAAGTTACAAAATTAACAAATCAAATATAAACGATTGCCAAAAATGTCACTAATTTCAACGGTTCTATATAATATTCCATTGTGCTTTCATGGCGAAAAAATCGCTTAAAAATGTATCCAGACGCGTAATATCCTAACTAGGTATTTCAAGTATTTACATCACACACAAGCGCCGACCAAAATTATTGAAAACAGGCGTTTTCTTCCGAGAAAAATATTTCCATGCAACCTTTAAAATTCGACCCGATTTTTCCATACTCCCGTGCCTGCTGAGAAAGTAACAAATTTGTTCGGCATTTATCAACGGACACACGCACGCGTAATCCACAAGTGGTGAAACTTACGCATATCGTCGGGAGAAAGGTGAAGGGAACCCAAAGAAAAATGGAAAAGTAGCTGCTACGAAAATACTAATACTTGCAGCCCGAACAGGACAGCTGCAGCTACTTTGGTGGCGCTGTGTTACGCAAGTATACGCCAGTCGAGTCGCTTTTTATCCGTCACCACTTCAAACGTGTGAAATATGCGCGCGAGAGACGACTAAGTACACAGCTTGTGTATACGTAGAGATTCAAATGACGGATTGCTGTTTGTTCAGGAAAACCTCACATCGAGCCGTGGGTTATTGGACTCGGCGAGTCTCGGCTTATGAATCGTCTGTGTGTATATTATACTCTTATTCATAAGCTTCTCTATACGTTTCTGCACAGGTGGATAAATCTCGTCGCCTTGGGCTGTACTTTCGTATATATGTACTATGGGTGTAATTTATTCCGCTGTGCAAATGTTAATTGTACAAACGCTCATTTACAAGTAAACCTTCATGGCTTACAATTTTTTGCTCCATTTAATTTTATGTATAAATAGATAAAACAGTAATTACTATTTTTAATATTTTTAAAAATACACAACATTTTTGAGTAAGAACTTTGTCTTGTTAGAGGGATTTTAACACAATTTTTTTTTTTTTTTTTTTTTAAGATACACAAATCTACTGTAAGTCACGAAACATAGTAACTATCAATATTTCACAATAAAATTTGTGAGTTTTAGAGTCGTATTAAAAATTATTAAAAATTACAAAAATCTTCCCCAATATATTTATAATTTAAATATCTTTAACCTGTGATGCATAAATGTTGCACTATTTCAAATCGTCACTCTTTTACAAAATATAACACCATTCAGAGTTTAACAAAAATTGAATGCAACTCTAGTTGCCCTTTAAAAGGACGTTATTTGCCTGGAACCAACACTTTCTCGTTCTCTTTCAAAAATTTGTCATTGGCAGATCAACGTTTACCAAAGCAGCCAAAAAATTTAGGAAAATAATACACCTTAATGGCAGAAAGAGAGTAAAAATAAATACAAGCCTGAAAAGACCATTGGTTTTCGACAACCTACCATAAGCACCCCCAATCTAGGCACGAGGATCGTTATGGAGTGCCGCGCAATTAACCCGAAATAGAGATAAGAAAGGAGGAGCGAAGGAACCGAGAACAGCGAGAATACAGCTCGAGACGAAGAGGAACAATGCGAGTGTACGATAGTTTACCCAATGTACGTATCGCGTGTTGAACATTACCTACTCTTGCACGAGCAAAGTTGGAATTGCAGATGTAGGGGGTTGTAGTTTCGAAGCAAACTATACGTATTTGTCTGTCGGATGGGCGTTTTCTTCGGAAATGTATTTCCTCGACGCATTTCAAAAACAACTATAAGCTCCAAGATTGAGCTTAAGGATTTTGCACCGCAGTGGAAGCCGTACTTGCTTCTTTAACATAATTTTAGCGAATCCAAGGGGGTAACTTTAATGGGAGGTAAATCTCGGAAAGATTAAATGGACGTAAATTATTGGGTGATGGTTGAAAGCCCACAAAAACATTTAAAAGGGTCTCTATTGGTCTAAATTTGTCTAAAAAATTTCGGGATGACCAAGATTTCTCAAAAAATTTGCCAATCGAACAAATATATTTTATTTAAATAATTTACCGCAAATCTAACTAAATATGGGGTTTAATAGTGATTGTTCTTAACGAATTTATAGATTAATTCGTATAAAAATTTCCTCTATTATACATTAAGTAATTGGAATAAAGTATTTTGAAAATTTTTATGTAAAATGTACGTAAATTAAGAAGTATGTAATTATTGAAACGCGGATTGTGAACGTGTATACATTTTACGTTTTAGTTTCAAAGAAATAGTCACATTTCCAAAATTCCGTTTATCACAGAAATTGTTCAAAGGTATCTCGATCTTTCGATGGATGATCATTAACAAAAATTTTCGAGATAAGATTAAAAATATTTTGGAACAAGATGAACAGTCCCAAAGAAGTATTTTAGAGTAATAACTAGTATGTACTCGTTTGATTATATTTCAGTACACCGGCATATGATTACGCACCAAATCCGGACAAGCAGTGGATCTTACAAGTGACGCAGAAGATGCAGCCGATACATAAACAATTTACCAATCTTCTCATGACGAAACGACTACAAACGCTGCAGAGCGTCGACGCCGCCGTCGAGAGGGTGCGTATGTAATTATATATAGAAATTGATACTATAAACTAGTTATCATGCGCTGCATCTTTCAACTGCAACAATTGATGCAATTTTATTGAGTCATATTTACTGAATCATCTTATTTTGTATTTTCAAATACGTCGTTGTAGCACATATATTTGTCAATTTAGATAACTTAAGTAAATAATTTTATTTTATTTAGTATTTTTAATAATATTTAATCAAGTAGTTAATTTATATTTATTATTTATTTATACTAACATGGTTGGTAAGACGAATAAATAAGTTAAAAAATATAAGTATATTACGGTGAATAATAATTATTACTAAGAACACACAAGAACTAATTATTACTAATTATTTAAGCAATAGTGAGCAATGAACATTTCGTTGGTCTTAACGCTAACCTCGTGAGGTTCACTTTGTCAAAATAACAACGAAAACAAAAATAATGATAGACATAAAAATAAACACTCATCACACAAATTGTTTAACCAATCCGGGAATGTAGATCGGCCACGGCCCCCCATGAGTGGACCCGTAATGTATATCCTCTTCTTGCTCCAGTTGTCATCATTCTGATTTTTCACTAATCACACTTTTTTTTCGCAACATTTTTCAAACGTTTGCCAAAAGCAAATGCACAGATAATATCAAATGTTCCAGATCTACCAAGAGTTGAAGAATCTCGGGGAGCTGGACAACACGTACGTTATTTACACATCGGACCACGGCTATCATCTAGGTCAATTTGGTCTGATAAAGGGCAAGAGCTTCCCGTTCGAGTTCGACGTGCGCGTACCCTTCCTCGTCCGGGGCCCGGGCATCGAGCCAGGATCCGTGTAAGTCTCCACATCGCTTGTCCCCCCCCTTTTCTTTTTTTTTTTTTTTTTTTTTTTTTCTTACTATTTTTCTTACGTGCACCTATTTTTCGTTTAGCTACTTTTGATTTAGTTTTTTTTTTTTTTTTCGTGCTTTTCCACTTGCTTTCCCAATGTCGTTTATACCGTCGACTTTCCTTCTATCCAGCAACACCCTTTCACCATTACGTGTATGTATTTATGCGTACACCAACGGGCGAATAGTCTTTATATTTAGCAACGTTGCAGAGTAGACGACATAGTTTTGAACATCGACCTGGCACCGACCTTCCTGGATATCGCTGGCGTCGAGACGCCGCCGAGAATGGACGGTCGTTCCTTCAAGAAGCTCTTCTTCAAGTGAGTGTTTTTTTTTATTTTCGCTTCGTCTATGAGATAAATCTGACGAAGATTTGGTACGATTGGGATCACATCAGTTTCATGGTTTTGGAGGGTAAAGGTTTTTTTTTTTTTTTTTGTTTTTTGTTTTTTTTTTTACAGACTAAACATTTTTTTGTTTAAGCTTATTGTATCGTATATGCTTGGATGTTGTTTATCGTAGACAAGGACTCGAGCCGTAGTCTAAAATCTTAATTTATATAACTTTGTAACGCTTAAAAAAATTATGCACAATTTAAAATATGATCGTGATTAACTATTGGTATTATGTGCGTAATGAGTTAAGAGAAATCGCTTACATGAAAAGGTTTACGATTTATGCGAAAACTAGCATTTTTGGGTAAGCAATTGCTTTTAATTTTTTACGTATGACGTTTTAACAACTTTTCAACGATAACCATATCCAACATCTTCTGAGGTGTCAGACAAACTGTAAGAAATTGACTTTGGATGGAAATTAAATTTCACAAGATGTATCCAATTCTTTTTTATAGTTAACAGTATTTATGAAGCGTGCAATAAAAAAAAAAATTCATGTTAAACTTAAACCACCTTAACTAAATAAGTATTTCTATCCAATTTTGTTAGCATGTCAATTAATTATTTTTAAGTATTGCTCAATTGAGAAATAAATATTTTTTTCTACATTTTTTTTTTAATTAAAAAAAAAGAAAAGAAAAACAATATATAATCGCTTTTTACAGCAACAAGCCGGGTCGACGTTCCAAGTTCAAGTGGCCAGACACGTTTTTGATCGAGTCGTCGGGTAGGCGTGAGACTCCAGAATCGATTGCCGAGGCCAAAGCTCGGGAGGCACGGAAACAAGCTAAACTAGATGCGGGTGGTAACGACGAAGAGGCTGATATCATCGACACCGAGGACTCTTTGGTCAAGAGGGACGGAGAATTGGATAGTGATCAGGATTTTTCGGACGATGATGAGTTTGAAGATTTGGCCTTTGAGAATCCTGGTGAGTATAGTTGTTATTGTTAATATATAAAACATAATAATAGTGAAAGATGTAATAATGAGTAATAGTAGTAAAAGGCTAAAAGCAAGTACACGAAAAAAAAAAAAAAAACGAAATAAAACAAGGCATCATGATTGAAAGAAACAAATGTAACAAAAAAAGATTCCCCAAATATTTTAATTTAATTTTCGTCCTTTTTTAAATTCCAAGCCTANAAGTTTTTTTTTTTTTTTAAAGAAAGAGATGATAAAATTATCATTCCTGTCATCATTTTAAATTACAAATTTTTACATTACTCCCAAAAACGGGGTTTGGTGAACACGAAATTTTAATGCAAAGAACTATACACTAACAAAAATTCTGTTTTTATTGCTTGTAGTTTACATAAATTGTTTTTTCTGGTATAATTTTATTAACGGGCTACATGCTAAATCTGACTATTTCAAGTATAGTTAATTCAATAAGCCATCCTTGCTTCTCTGCATTTTTCGAACAATCTGAAACACGTTCAGTGACCATTTAAGACATGAGCCTATTGTTGTGCACATAAATATACAAATTTAAAAAAAAAATGCTAGTAACCCAAGCGAAAATTAAATTAATGAATAATTAATGATAAAAATAGTAGTCCACATTTGAGATTAAGAAGAGTATTGAATAACTGTGATTATTTATTAGCTATTAGAATTTTTTTTTGGTTATAAGTAATATTTAGAAAGGTACGTATAAAAAAATCAAATGATATGATAATATCATAAAGTATAATTAACTACAACTTACAGTTTATAATAGGGATTATTTACTATTAATTATTTTAAAATTTTTGGGCAACTAATACAAGTTTCTACAAAATATTACTATTTGTACAATTGACGGTCTAGATCTCGGTGATGCCTCGCGGTAACGTCAACTGTAGCCAATCGGTTTACAAGGACCTGTTACAAATTATTAAGGAAGCTTTGACCGTAAATTTCATGAATTTTGGGGTTCTTATGTTTAATTTTTTATAAGTTTCAAATCTAGATTATTTTGATGCCAAAAAAAAAAATAAGTTTTATCAAATTTATTAAATTAATTACACTGAATTTTGTCAACAGAAATTGGTATCGACAACGAGCCTCGACTGGACAACGGGCTACAGTCGTCATCGAAACATTCGCGACTGGCGTTTGAATGTTCTCGCGCTGCGGCTCAAACGGACTGTCTTCCTGGACAAAAGTGGAGATGCGAGAAAGACGGCCAACGCTGGCGCCGACACAAGTGCCGGGCGTCGGGCACCGACCACCAGGAGGTACAGCTGCCGCAACCCCTTCGCACTGCCTGGAAAAAGTGCGCCTGCTTCACGCCCAGTGGTGTTGTTTACACGAGGCTCGAAGCCAACGATTACGATGGCCATCGTTTCGTGTTTGGAAAAGAGAGCCGGTTCACTGGTCCCTACGGCCAGGTGCAGGCGATTGCGCCCAGAAGAGGTGAGATTTTTTTTGTAGTATATTTACAACCGTGCGTGCGTGTATTAAAATAATCAAACAATGCCTCAGAATCTTTTTAAATTTGGTTAAAAAAATAAAATAAAATAAAGAATAATCGATTAAAACAGTTTCAGTTGTTTTTACAAGCTTTTTAGATTCAAACAAAATTTTCGGTTCATTTTCAATAAATACACGTTAAGATATTTAATACAATGAAAAAATCGTACTAAAAATTTTGCGGATGAGTAAAGATT